ATTACCAAATATTTGGTAATAATTACTAAATCACTCCGTCGTCATTACCAAATATTTGGTAATAATTACTAAATCACTCCGTCGTCATTACCAAATATTTGGTATGCAATTATAAAAAAATTGCACTATAAAACAAGAAAAATTTTTACAAATTGTCTATATCACAAAAAGCAATACCAAGCAATCGATCTTGCAAATCCAAATTCATATACATTCGCTTCATTGTACATTTCGTATAGTATAACATAATGACATTCATGCATTAAAACAATTTGTGATCTACGTATGAAAACAAATCAATATAAAAATAAAAATAGATAAGAATAATTTTATCATTTTAATTTCTCAAGTTTTTTCATATTAATAATAAAAATTAAAAAACAGAACTTTATAACTAATAACTTCAAAACTGATATCTACACATTTTCATTTTAAAGAAGTGATTCCAAAAAATAATTTTGCAATATTTGTCAGCTCAATTTAGCGTCATTCTATATCATAATAACGTGTCTATATTTTTTGGCAATGTGGTTAGAAATATACTGAGACTATTTCATTCTCGGTTATTGCACCGCCTTTGTTGGCCGGCGCCACTGTTTAACTATCATTCGGTACAAGCCTTACAGTTAAAAACGACGAGCAATTGTGAACGGTAGTTAACTCTATGGTAGAGAGGGGTGAGCATGTTTCACTTGCGACAACCGAACGGTATGCAGATATAGAGTCGAGGTAAACCCGTGGACAACTGTGCGGTAGTAATCACAGTCGCTTCGAACAGTCAACGACACTCGCGAGGTCCGCAGGTGGACACAACAGGTACAACTCTTCCCAAAACTTATACTAACATTCTCTCGACAGTGTCATTTCAAATTAATATGCTTTCGCTTCTTGTTAGATAGAAAATATGCACTATCAATATTTTATTCACTATAATTAGTAATAATATTAATAGCCATACAGTTTATTGATATATATTTATTCTTTACTTAAATTTAAAAAAACTGCACCGCTGTGATCTATCCAATCATTATTTGCGTTTTTAAATATAATCTCCTTTTCTCTCAAGAAATTTTGTTACATGCTAAATTTTGGTAACTGCACATTGCACAATAATTGTATAATCTTAAATTGCACAAATTTATCAACTTTTTAAACACTATTTTTGATGCATGATTAGCATTATGATATAATTTTAATGTAATAAATTCTTGAACATAAAATAAATTCTAAATTATTGTGGAATAGCAATTAAAATATACAAAATATACAGGCCAATAAAATTAATATCAAAAATTATAAGATGCGATAAAATATTTAAATGGAAAGTAGATAAAAAATTATTTTTTTATGTGAACAAAATAATTACAACGAATAAGATTTGCATGTGATTTATAAACGTTTATAGATTTCAAATTTTAAGTAGCGATTCCAAATTATATTAAACTGTTTTAAATTAAAAAAAGACTTTTAATTAAATTTTCAAACTAAAATATATTTGTAACGCTGGTAAATGTTGTTCACTGAATCAAAAACTTCAAAATTTATTTAAGAAATAAATTTTTAGATTCTGGTTTTCTCCGTCACGTTTTTATCTTAATTATCTAATTGTAAGTCAATCCGTTAAAAACGGTGATATTTCCGTTACGCTTTTCTTTCCAATTTCCGACGCAGTAAACAATCTCGCCGCGACGATGTCCAGTCCGGTTAATTAAAAAGATTCTTAATTGCGAGGCGAAACGGTTTTGTCGGCGTCTAACTGTACACTGCGGGCATAACTGTGCGACGGCATAAGATCGTCGTCCTGCTGCAGATTTGTTCCGCTACATCGCCATAGATACCGACCTCTCGCTCGACCGTCGTCCTACCGACGCTCATAAATAAACGAGCATAACTGTGGAGGAATGACTCGACATGGAAACTTTCAATGATCGCCAATAAAATCCTATCCCGCGAAATAAATCGCTATAAACAAACCCTTTGCTTGCAATAATTTTTTATATAAAATTGTATTATTTTTTTCTAACGTGTTGAATCTCTTGCATTAGAAGAGAAAAAATAAAAATTATGAAATATAATATATAATGGAAATAAAATTTTTAAATTATGATAATGTTTGTAATATTGTACGATAGAGTTTTATTATCATAATTTTGGTCGCATAAAAAATTGAACTACGGAAATCTAATGCGATTTCGAACTATGGTAAATATGCTCGGGTGAACAATCGTCCGGACGGATCTGTACGAGCCGACCGGAACTTGGAATAATACCGCGGAAACGGCCTGGGAAATTATATTTGTCATGGAGAATCGGCCGTGTCTACATTGGAGGACAATTTGATGCGATCTCTGACCGCGCAGCGACCGGACGGAACGGTCATTGAATGTGTATCGCCAGCCTTTTTAGAGCTATTGCGTTTCGGTGAAAAGTGCCGATGATATTCACGGTTACGTTCAAACTAGACAAAGCGCGAACAATCAGACCGATTTGTAAACGGGTTCACACGTAGGAGAGAAATCCGCGAAAGTTCTATTTGATCGCTTTGCCGAGCAGATGAATCGAACTTTTCTCAATTCGTCACAATTAATAACTTTTTATTTATATTCAGCTTTTTCAGCAATTAACTCTACGATAATTTTGTAATCTAATATTGTAATAAATAAAATATAGACTGAGAATACTTTTATCATATTGCAATAATACTTTTATCATAGAATACTTTTATCATATTGCATAATACTTTTATCATATTTGCAATAATTTTATATACGTCAATAAAGAATTATTTGATATACACATAATTTATGTTTCAAATTTTTTAAATTACAAACGCTAATAATTATTAAATTTTTTAATAGATTACAATGATACGTTTATCGGCTATGTACCCATTAATCTTTCTGCTGGCTGGAGCTAACGCTGGAGCCGGTATTGGCGAGGCTTGGCAAGTTACGCCGCAAATGAAATCCGTCTACATGGATCGTCCGTTTCGGCCACGATTGGAATCTTCAGCACTCGACGTTCGCACTGTAAGCGGAGTAGGCCGTTTGGTTCCATTTGATGAATCGAAAAACAGTCAAAAGCGTCCGGAGCTTACTACATCGAGTTTCGTGGAACCGAATGCTCTTTCAAATATCGAAAAAGCTCGCGAGAACAGAAACCTCGAACATTTCCGAAAACTCTTAGAAGATTCGTCTTACGGTGATGGCGAGACCGAAGAGGATATCGAAAACGACACTGCACCTATTCGAAAGGCGCTCAAGAAGGCACTTATGATGAGAATTCTCCGCGCGGACAAAGAGGATGATGACGATGACGAGGAAGAAATTGTGAATGAGACGACAGGAATCGTGCAACGTATTCGCAGACAGACGGACAACGAGACGAGCATGGAGAAGATTTCAACGACGAAGAGCGTGCGGGAGGCTCGTCTGAATTCCCCTGAGACATGGTCGAGTTCGGTGCAGCCGATCTCAGTAGAGTTTCGTCATCGTATACCCTTGCACCAAGTGATCCAGCAGCAACAAGAGGAAGAGGAGGCCGCGCTATCCAACAATTACCGAAGACATCAGGCGCCGCGGGCGGATTTCGTGACCGGACAGCATCATCGACGCAGCTACCCGGAGTACCGCGAGTCCAGGGATATGCCGGTTACCAAAAACTATTACGACGACTACGAGCAAACGTCCTGGTACAGAAATGCGATACGCGAGCGGGATTATGAGTATCCATCGTACCGTCGAGGATACAGCTATCAGTATCCGGATCGCTACCGGATGGAGAGAGACTACTACATGCGCCTGCCCAACGATCAGTACTATTACGATCGCTACGATCGTTACAGGGAGGACGACTTGGATCTTTACGGCAGAAGCCGATCTACGCCGAAACCCAGGCGCATCATTTACTACGCTACTCTGCCGGAAATCACGAGGAAACCGGTGGACCTGAGAAACTATCCACGACCCTACGATACCGCGGGAACAGTCAGAGCGCCCGTCACGCGGGACGACAATTACAAGCGCGTGCCCGGTAATGTCGATCCTAGTCGATACCGCTATAACAAACAGTCGTATGGCAGCTATGATCCCTACGCGAAGCGATCGAGCTACTACGGATACAACGATCGCCCGTACGGATACAACGAGGGCGATTTGCGGCGGGTCAGAGTGTCGACGAAAGAGAGTCTGAAGAACGACGGATTTGGCGCGAGTAGCGAGCGGAAGGTGAGCAATTTAATCACGATCAGGGACGATGACGGTAAGCTGCCTTGGCCAGTGCAGATCGGCACCGAGGTCAACATCAAGGAAGATGAAAGGATTCCCGGCCGGAAGATCTTCGGCGACTCGAATGGTGGCTACGACAGATTCCAGAGCGCACAACTACAGAAAGCGCCAGACGCCACGGGATCCAGCGAACTCCAGAGCAATAATTAATACATTTAGCGCCATATATGTCCATTTATACATATAAAAAAAAGTAAAACTTTAGTTTGCTTCGAGGAACTAAATAACCGATGGTTCCAATGTCATCAAAATCGACGTATAATAATGTTGAAATGATATTAAATATATGATGAAAATAAATATCAAAATATGTTATAAAAAATATGATAATTGTCACATTTAAAAAAGTTAAAAAAACTTATAGCAATTTAATTTTATCATGGCGCTCAACTTAATAAATATTTAAGAGACGCTTTAAAAAAAAAAAGATATTTCTTTATAATGCCCGAAATGTTGCAAAGCTTATTTTACAAATCGATATTTGTTTCAATCCTGATATTTAATATCAATTATCGAGAGACAGCATTTTTCTGTTATCGTGGGATATATCATGGGGTAAATAATTACTATATAATTGTTTAATTTCATACGCTATATAGCTTTGTGTGGTTGCATAAAGAAAAAAAAAAATTACACTTCCATCATCAAATTATTAATCATATATCATCGAAAAATAAGAAATTCTAATACTTTAATATTATATATCGCTGATCTATATTTGTTTCGATAATAAAATGTAATTTAAATGATTTATTTAATTAATTATAAAAGCAATATTGTGCAATCGAAGGTAATGGATAAATTAATGCGTATTCAGTCGATTTATTAGTTGGATACTTGTGATATATTTAAATATTTGAAATTACAAGCAACTAAAACAATTTTGTGAAATTTTTATAATATTGTTATTTCGTATTCTATAATTCAACTAATATTCTTCTTCATGCTTCGGTGAATTTATGTTTAAATATTTTCAGTAAAAGTTTTTAAAGTAAAAATTTGAGTAAACCGAATATTAAATTGATGATAAAAATATTTCATTATTTTACATATCTTTGGACACATGTATTCGACTAACAAATAAATTCTGTATTTTGATTTAATAATTATATTATTCATAATTGCGATAAATAAAATAAAAAATTATTTAATATATATATTATAAAACTTAGAAAAACACTTATTTTATATTTTCCACAATAAAATTTCAAAATATATTCAGCTTTTGCTAAATTAATTAGATTTTTTATTATTTAACTTTCCTAGTTGTTCCAAATCGTTATTAAATACCTCCTTCAAAATTTTACTCATTCTTTTGAATTTGAAATAAATATATAAAAGAAAGGTAAGTTATTATGTTCACGTATAGTGTACAATTTAATTTTTTCAATATAATTTATCTCTTTCTTCTATATTATATCTCGAGTTAATGATAAAATATTTTTAATCAAAAATGTTTGTTTTATACTTTTACAACATTATTTTCACTAAGTTTTAGAATAACTAGAACAATACAAGCGCGCGCTACGCGCGCGCACTTATTATTGTAATTTAATAGTTATAAAATCTAAATATTTAAAAAATTTTTTAATTTTAAATAACCGCCAAAATAACCTTTGCTCACAAACTATCAAACTGCCAGAATAATCAAGATAACAATCAGCGTCGCGGAAAAGCGTCAACAATACTTTCGATACATTCGAGTATCGATTTTTCATGCCTTTTTTAAGAATGGATTCAAGTAAATGATTTTTTTGATTCCAAAAAAATATTTACTTGAATCAAGTAAATATTTTTTTGATTCAAGTAAATGATTTTGTTTATTCAAATAAATATCTATTAGAATCAAGTAAATATTTATTAAAATCAAGTAAATATTTATTAGAATCAAGAAAATATTTATTAGAATCAAGTAAATATTTATTAGAATCAAATAAATACTTTTTTGATTCAAATAAATATTTATTAAAATCAAGTAAATGATTTTTTTTATTCAAGTAAATATTCATTAAAATCAAGCAAATAATTTTTTTTATTTAAGTAAAGATTTATTAGAATCGAATAAATATTTATTAGAATCAAGTAAATATTTTTTTTATTTAAGTAAATATTTATTTGATACAAATAAATATTTATTAGAATCAAATAAATAATTTTTTTAATTCAAGTAAATATTTATTAGAATCAAGTAAATATTTATTAGAATCAAGTAAATATTTATTAGAATTAAGTATATGATTTTTTTATTCAAGTAAATATTTATCAGAAATTACCAAATTATCGACTTCTCATACCTTTTTTAAGAGTGGATAATAAAATTGATAAAATTTATCAAGAAAGAACTACATCTAAAAGAACTATTTCAAAAGCTACAAATTTTTGTATTTAAGAAATTCTTTCGTTATTTAAATCTTTTCAGACGACAGTGTAAAAATTATATATTGTTACTAACATAATTCAAAATATTAAATCAGTTTTGAATCAACTCTCTGTTCCTTATTCATCTACGATCGGTCATGTAAGTACTCTCTTTTGCATCCATCGGACTTATTGCTTGGTAGATATAAACGCGTATCTATACAGCTACAGACCACTAATAGAGTATTTGATTTATTATTAAATATTTACTATCGCAGTATATCTTGTTGATTAGATATTAAATAATTGTTACTACAAAAAATTCTTTTGATGTGGTTATTGTCGAAATACTATTAAATACAGCTGGCCTAACGAGAGTTCGCAAACGATTAGCTCATAATCCAGTATTAATTTTACGATTTATTAATATTTCGACATTTCAGAGATATTTACATACATGTTCAATGTAATAACATCATATATTTTAGTAAAATCGAAATTTAGCAGTTCTCATCCGTGCGGTTGTTGGTAACAGTTTTACAAAAATATATAACATTATCAAACTATCAAAATATGTATATGTCTATCAAATATTTAAATAATAAATTGTAAATCACTTTTTAAACTATCTCTAGATTCTCGAAATCCTTTTAATAATCCACCAAACTTTAGTCAGAACTGTCGGCTAGTACCTCGGCAGTGGAACGGTCTGCACAGTATTGCCATCTGATGTAAGGCATTGCTGAGCAACAACGCGTACTTTTCATGTTGATAAAGTTGACGTTGCATTAAAATGTCTTAAAATAAATTTGTGAAATATTCGAGACAAATAAAATTGCACGTTTGAGAATAGACTTCTCATTTTTCAATGTAAAGTTCATAAGTGTGAAGAGTTTAATAGCAAAAATTTCTATTAATTTTAATTAAATATATACTAAAATCGCATTTGAATTCATTTAGTTATCGTGGATATTTATCATTAATATATATTTAAAAATAATTTTTCTTCTCAATAATAATCACTTTTACGATATTAATAGTAATCGTGAAAAAGAAAGTTGTATTTTTACTTGCTGAGAATTCTATATCGCCTTCGAACCATCGTTATTTTTTCGTCGAAGAAAGTCAGAAATCGTCGCGTCGCGCCTGATCGGCGGTATTATCGAACATTATCGGGCCATATGGAATTTGGGCTTGAAAACGGTCCCGTGCAGGAAATTGCTAACGACCTAAACGTTGGGGCGGCGCATTGGGACCGTAAGTCCCATGGCCCCAGTTGTGATGGATGGGCTCTGACCCACTCTATAATTTGAAGGCGTTTTATGTGTGCCCTAACACGTACTCCTTCAATGATCCTCCATATGTCCCAATTGTCGTCCAACATAACCACGGGCTCGTGAATCGATGTGATGGCCTTTTATCGCGGTTTCGATACACGCGAATTATTGGCGCGGAATGAGCTTTAATAATGTTAAATTATTATTTCCATGATTTACGACAATTTATCCGCTATTATTTACAGCATCATGAGTTTCGAAGAATAAAACAAGCGCTGCAATTTTTCCTTCAAAAATGAGTATCCGCGCCAAAGGTGTAATGTCGTATTTTAAATTCTGGCGAATAGTGTTTTATGGAATTTGTAAAATTCTGAGAAAATGCCAATTATGTTTACTTTTCCGTTGCAATCTCTCTAATCTCAAATTTATGAACGAAAATTCGGAATAATCGTTAAATGTTAGTACTTGCATGAATAAATTACGCGATGTGAAACCACAGGGGAGGGGGATGGGGGGGGCGGTAGGTAACAAAAACTTATAATTCCGCAATCCGCGCCACGAATTACATAGTTATTTAATAAATCGCTTTACATCTGCTCGCTAGCGCGCTAATTAGTACCGGCCGCTATTATGCAAATCTTATACGCGGCATAGGCATGGTTAAATGAATACCCAATTAAATTGCAAAGTGAGCGTTCCCAATTTTCCCTATATTTTGCCCTTTGGTACACTAATTAATTTCCACGGTCGAGCTCACTTTATTTACGCGCGACAAACCTCAAAATTGTAGCCGACCAGTCCGGTATATTTACGTGAGCGGCCGCGCACGCACATCGCGGACCGCGCGGACTGCCACAAAAATATTCTTCGTACGAGTTACATGCCAGCAATAAGCGCACGTTCTTATACTGATTCGCAAGCAGACAGCAAGGTTATCTGTTCTAGCTTTCAAAAAGTTTAACCTTTAAACGTAAAAATTGATCTCGCACAGAAAGCACATTGAAAAGTTTAAAATAGTACACCAATTACCTAATATTTCTTCTAGCCGTTTTTCACTTGTTTTAAAAAGTAGAATTTGATTTAAACACGCAAGCATTTTTTGAAAAATTTAATCATCCCGTGAGTTTTAAGTTTACAAAGAATCTTTGAAGAATTCTTACTCCGGAATTTACGATTATTTGTTCGTCTGGCAGTAAGTGACCTATTTCACTTTAGTACCACGCTTACAAGGCAAGGCCAGAACGTGTCCCCGGGCGTGACAAAAATTGCTCGAGCCGAGAAGCGAAACGTGACGAAGCGTTTCGTCGCCGGTCAGTCTCGATACGCAAGAGAGCGGCCGGGGGTCGTCGGGCCACCCTCCCTCCCGGTAACGTGGAATTATTGTGGATAATATGTGGATAGTTAGTCCGCGATTAGTCTGTCCGGCGGATTGTATCCCTCTCCCCCATTCCATTCCCGCGGGCAGCGCCTGCCGTGATAAATGACCGAATCCTTCGCAGTTTTTAACCGCGCTCGCTTAAAGGTTCTCCGCTCTCTCCCTCCCCGTCTCACCCCGCAAAACCCCGTCCACCTCAGTCGAAGGTCACAGCTACAATTTTGCCGTAAATCACGGTA